GCAATGACAAACGATTGTCGCTAAAATTCAGAAATTGTTGCTTAGATCGCATTTCCCTAAATATTACCATGATACATCAAGGCCTTCTGCCTTCTAGCTAGGCGCTCAGCATATTAGATTAGAGAAGGGTAGTAATAAAATATTATGCTACGCAGAGCCCGCTGAAAGATCAGTTTCATAACTAAAGTGGCTACCCTGGGTAAATAAAACGTTATTATTATTATTATTATTCATTTGTTTTCATTTTTTGGAAGGGGCGTAGTTACACAAATGTTTAACATTTCGTTTCCATGTCAACGGTCTTATATGTTACTTGAAATGACTCGAATTGTCATCATAATCAAACAGGCATCTGAAGTTTTTAAATGCTTACTGTTTGCTTCATGTTGTTGAAAAATTACCACCGGCTGGATCTGCCCCTGCTTCCCTGTATCAACTCACACACTTTGTGGGAATTTTTTCTTTTCTTTAATTCAAAGTCGTTTAACAGCCTTTTGAGCATCACATTATAGCTGCATACATTCAGCTAAACTTGACATGTGATTGGTTGATTTAAACGTCAATATATTTACAACATGCATGATGCTCATTTCTGAAGATATCGTTTAAAAAAGAAAATCGAAATCTTGTATCACTGGCGTACTGACAGTTGCCCCCCCCCCCCCCAAAAAAAAAAAAAAAAAAAAAAAAAAAAATCAAACGTGGTTTATTTCTAATTTGATACAAGTGATTTTCCGGGATTTTTCTCACTTTTGTGTAAATTACAGTTTTTTATGCGTTTGTTTGCAAATGACAAATTCCCAAATTTATAGTCAGGCAAAAAAATACAGTTATTTAGAAGCCTAAGTGTCAGAGCCCGCGAAACGGCGGGGTCCTGGGGGGCTCGAGCACCCCTCCCCCACACTTTTTTGAAAAAGTATGTTGAAGAGAAATAGAAAGAAAGAAATAAAAAATAGTGACCTGCCAGTGTCACATAATAAATATTAGGTATCAAAATATGCTCATCTGACCGTAATTCAATGTGTAAAACCCCTGAGCTTCCTTTACGCCACTGAATGACAATGAATCAAATATTATTTTTGAAAATTCGGACAAGGATTAAGAGACGAGAACGGTACAACGAATCGTCTTCTTCTCTAATGATTTAATGAAACGTCAAAGCTTCCGCGCTTCACGCGAGAGGGGGCTGGGGGAACTCTCCCCCTCTCTGCACTCAACCCAGGCCCCCTAATTTATTCAGGCTCCAGTCACATCAACACGACTGGCGTCGGACCGATGACAAACCGATAACAAACCGATGTAAAATTACGTTGCAATTCTTTCGGTCCATTTGGAGACGGTTTGACGTTGTGACTGAGGTTTAGTTATATTGCCTCGAGTTAACACCCTTATGGCTCAGATGGCCTCATGAGCAGAAGGCGAGGTACTGAGACACTGGGACTTCCCCTGCAATGTAGACTCGTCTCTTCCTTTGTCTGCGGACTCCCTAGACTTGAGTATACTCCTCGGAGGAGAAATCGATGGAAAGGAAGGTTATAACACTTATGCTTCTCCAAGTAAGGTCTACGTATTCTTCAGACTCGGCTCTCACCCAGATTACCATGGACACAGTAAGATGAAGGGAGAAGCCGATGGTCATTATGGTACGGACAAGGAATGAGATGAGAGAAAATACAGTACGTTTTTGGTGAAGAATAAGAAGAAACGAATGAGGAATAATAATAATGAGAAGAAGAAGAAGAAGAAGAAGAAGAAGAAGAAGAAGAAGAAGAAGAAGAAGAAGAAGAAGGAGAAGAAAAAAGAAGAAGAAGAAGAAGAAGAAGAAGAAAAAGAAGAAGAGGAAGGTCTTTTGTCGTTCTTTGGTAGGACTCATTGGCTTGAGCCTCAATGTTTGACAACCCTGAAGATCCATGTACTTGGGTGTCCAATGTAAACACGAGACTACACTTTCCCTTTGCGTTGATGTTAAACTGTCGAAGTTCGTTGGATGATTCCAAATATTATTAATACGTGCTTGTTGTACGCTGTAGCTCAAAATAACTTGTTTATGTTTATGACAGTGCATGTTCGATAAAAAATATCGGAAACAGCTCTGAATTGGTGTGAACAAAAAAATCAAGCTCCTCAGAAACAATACAACGAATCGTCTGCTTTCTCTCATAATTTAAGATAACGTCAAAGCTTCCGCGCTTCGCGCGGGAGGGGGAAAACTGAATTCAGACAATTAGGGTTATGAGTCGTGAACGGTAAATGAATCGTCTTCCTTCTATAATAATTCAATAAAACGTCAAAGCTTTCGCGCTTTGAATTCAGACAAGGATTAAGAGTCGAGAACAGTAGCATGAATCACCTGCTTTCTCTAATAATTTAAGGAAACGTCAAAGCTTCTGCGCTTCGCGTGAGAGGGGGAGACTGAATTTAGACATTTAGGGCTAATTAAGAGTCAAAAACGGTACAACAAATCGTCTACTTCCTCTAATAATTAAATGAAACGTCAAAGCTTCCGCGCTTCACGCGGGAGGGGGGAACTGAATTCAGACAATTAGGTTAAGAGTCGAGAACGGTACAACAAATCGTCTTCTTCCTATAATAATTTAATAAAACGTCAAAGCTTCAGCGCTTTGCGCGGGAGGGGGAAAAACTTCATTCAGACAAGGGTTAAGAGTCGAGAACGGTATAACGAATCGTCTTCTTTCTCTAATAATTTAATGAAACGTCTAAGCTTCCACGCTTCGCGCGGGAGGCCCTTCACCCATCCCCTAAGGGGACAGCGCTTCGCGCGCTCTTTAAGTGATTCGCTTGCTCTAGCTACGCGCCTGCATTTAAATATATAGCTATGATGCTGACAGGTACGGCCGAGCGACTTACAAAGTGGGGGCACCAAGGAAAAGGGGCTCTTTCTGGAGAAAAAAGGGCACCAACTAAGAGAAATCTCAATGCGAAAATATACAATTTTGTAGACAGCGGTATATACCCCTACATTGTGATTACAATTATCAGGGATGGTTTCAATATTTGTTTCACTTTAAACACCTCACAAGATATTGCTTAAGCATCCAGTTGGGTTTGATTGTCTAAACAATTTTTTGCGAGCGAGCGAAGCGGGCGAGGAAAATTTGTAAGATGTGTGAGGTCCCAGTGTGAAAAACTATATCTTATAAAGAGGAAAAAACCAACCCTAATGGGGTTATAAGCACATTCTCATAACGGAAGACTGAAAAGACCTTCGATAACTAGGTCTTTTCAGTCTTCCGTTATGAGAATGTGCTTATCATCTATAGATGCGTGCGAGCGTAGCAAGCGAGCTTTTTTTTGGGGGGGGGGGGGCTAGGGCGCGTTTAATGATGAGAGGAAAAGGGGAAACTTATTAGGAAAAAAATGAGCATGTGCCAAAGTACAAAGAGTACTTATCAGACGTGAATATGGGGCACTTCTTACACCCTCAAAAAGAGGCACTCACCAGGTATGAAAAAAGTCAGTCATGAGAATAGGAAATGGGCATTTGTCGACGGAAAAGGGTCTCCTATCAGATTTTGATAGGGGCATTTATAAGATATTATTATATATTGTTAAAAGGGAAATTATCAGAGGTAAAAAGAGGCGCTTATCGCACCTGAAAAGGGGCAATGACCAAATATGTAAAGAGGCACTTATGTGAATGAAAAGGGGGCACTTGTAATAAAGGAAAATGTGCACTAGTTAAAAGAAAATGAGCACCGATCATATTTCAAAGGGGTATTTATCGTAGGTGAAGGGGGCAATTATCTGAAGTGAAAAGGAGTAACTTCTCGTACCTAAAAAGGGTCATTGCAGAGAAGGGGCACTTATGAAGAGGGGGAAGGGGCTATTTTTCAATGGGGCATTTATCATTAGGAGAAGGGGCACTTATTGGAAAGGAAAAAGGGCACATGTGCAAATATAAGGTGCGCTTATCCGAGTCAAAATGGGGGTAGTTATTAAAAGGGGAAGTGGCACTTCTTACAAAGGAAAAGGGGCACTTGTCAAAGTAAAAGAGGCGCCTCTCAGATTTAAATAGGACAATTATCAGAGGTGAGGGGGCATTAATCAAAAGTGAAGAAAGGCACTTCTCGTACCTAACTAGAGGCACTTACTAGAGATTAAAAATGGCACTTATGAGAATGGAAAATGAACACTTATTGCGAAGGAAAATGGGAACTTGTCAAAGGAAAAGGGGCATGTGTCCAAATAAAAGGGGCATTTGTCAGAGTTGAAAAGGGGAAGGGGCACTTACAAATTAATAGGGGCACTTGTCAAAGTAAAAGGGCCTCTATTCCTATGTAAAAGGGGCACTTCTTAAAAAGTTAAAGGGGCACTTTTCCTATATAAAAAGGGCACTTTTCGGGAAGTTAAAAAGTGGGGGAGGGCACTGTGCCCCACTTGCCCCTCCCCCCCCCCCCTCCGGTCGTCGAGGAAAAGGACCATTTGCGCATACGCAAGTACTATGGATAGTTCATATGAAAAACAATTTAGCCTTCGGCTCCGGGTTTATAGGGTTAAATTTGTAGACATTGGGACATTCATTTTTTGTCGGTAATTGGTGGTTAGTTTTGTCGATAATCGGTGGCCTCTAAACCCCCCCCCCCCCCCCCCCTCTACTGAAAAAGGTCTAGCGATGCCCCTGAATATAACGTTAATTTGATTATTACCATTATTACTGTCATCATCATTATCATTATTACAATCACTTGAATGTAATTAAAAACAGGTTTTGGGATAGACATAAACCTGAACAACAACAAACAACAACAACAAACAACAATAACAACAACACAACCAGAAAACCGTTAGAAGGATGTTGCAAACAATCAAACGCCCCTCCGCCATAACAAAAAATCATGATTGCCATCACACAAAACTATGAGAAACATAAAATCGAACATATTTCATGAAGTGACATTGGTGTCGGTCGAATTTAAGCCCTACTTGAAAAGGAACATATTTTCTAGAAAACAGTGCTTTAATATTGTTTCTGTACCCACCTACTACATAAAGTGACTTTTCCATGACTGTAGCTATCAGCAGAACGCTAATGCAAATCATGAAAACTCCTTGAATCACGAAACGTCCCATCTTGTTGAGGAAACATACACAGATCCAGGGGACAAAACTCCTTTGGGTTATAGTTACCCAACAATGATAACCTGTAGTGTTGGTCTCCGGCAAATTATTTTCGTGGTCTGCTCCCGGTGATAGACTGTTTAACAATGCCTTCGATCATCGATCGGCTTTAAGTTTATTGGCTATAAAGCTGCCTTTAATGTTTACACATGAAATAAAACGACGCGTGAAATCAACTGTTCATTCCGAAGGAGAAGGTTTAAATAGTAGATCGAAAATTAGGTCTGGTTGGATAAACAGATCGTTGGTACCTGTCTTGTTTAGCGAGTAAACAGAGCATGTCCGACTGTCAGTTAATTGTTCGTTATGTACCATGTGCAAATACATTTAGAATCATGAACTTACAGCCCCCCCCCCCCCCCCCGCCACCGTTTATATAAGTTGATCACTAATTTTAACGTCAGGGAAACGTAATTTCCGGGTTGTATGTGTGCGCTGTATTGTTTTCTCAATTCAATGTCATCTGTACGAGGATGAACATACATGCAGTTTTAGGAACAAGAAGAGATAATCGACTTTGGACATAATTTAAGAGTTCCCGATTATCCCAAGTAATGTGTCATAATGTCATAAACATGCGTAATAATAAAGTTGTAATTTATCATTATTTTGAATAAGTATCTAACATTTAACGTTGCTTTTGATAAGCTGTACTGTGAGTGAGGTCTTGTCGATCAATTTTCTCAACTTCTAATTTAGTTGTTATTGGGTTTAAGGGTGTTTACTTTGAGCTCAACTTGACATTATATGTTGCTTCTTAGATTTCAAGTCCAAAGTGACTCAAGATCAGTAATTATATTTCTTAATTAGTCTGACCAATTGCTGAGGTAAATGAAATCACTTTCATAGCAGGACAAATCAATTGGTTAGATTGATTTCGTTTCAGATTAACTTATTGCAATAATAATAATAACAATGATAATCATACTAATGATAATAGATGAATAGCTCTTTACTATTAATTGAGTAAAGCGCTTGAAGTACCCCGGTTACTGGATCCAATTATAAGATGATGACGTGGATCCTAATCAAATGATTGGTTGAAAGCGTACACATGACCAGGCATTTATTTTGCGTAACGCGTAATCGCGCGTAATTTGGGTAATGACCGGTCATTAGCCAATGGTAATGACCGGTCCTTATCAAAATCATGTAAGAAAACATCATTTTATAAAACAAATAAAACACATCATTTTGTTCGGGCATTAGTAAAATTATCCACACTTGGTACCTTCAAAACAGTCCAAACACCCTCGGCTATCGCATCGCGTGTTAGACTGTTCCAAAGATACCGCGTGTGGGTAATTCTTACCGATGCCCTCACTGATGTGTATTATTTGTATTAATCTGCATATTATAGTGCACAGTATCCGCTCCTTGGAGAGCATTCCAGCCAGTCGCCATTTTACGGACGCGCACGTGATAATCCAACCATGATGACTTGGGTGGAAAGGAGCAATGTATATATCAAAATGCCTTGCTCATGGACATAAGTGTCGTACCGGGGCTTGAACACATGACCTGTTATGACACCTCTACACTGTATGATACAGATCACACAATAGGAAGAGATTCTGCACGACGAGAACGTGGACTGCCCTTTTAAGGCAATGTGACGTCCTTTTAAGGCACTGGCAGTGACGTCACATTGCCTTAAAAGGGCAGTCTGTGTTCTCGTCGTGCATAATCTAAAAGTCCCTTGTGTACGTGACACTTGAATTCAACGGCCCGAATTCACAAAGGAGGTTTGTCGACAAACCTCCTTTTGTTTCGACAAACCTCCTTTTGTTATTTACAAACCAGGTTTGTAAAAAACGCGTCAAAACGCGTCATATGACGTACATAAACCTCGGTTTGATGACAAACCTCCTTTTGTTTCGACAAACCTCCTTTTGTTATTTACAAACCAGGTTTGTAAAAAAAAACGCGTCAAAACGCGATTTATGACGTACATAAATCTCGGTTTGTTGACAAACCTCCTTTGTGAATTCGGGCCGATGTGAAAATCTAACGGTCGATTTACAAGGAAAAGTCAGTTTTCAATAAGAATAATTATATGGAACAGAGTTTTTATAGTGTATAGGCGATACATTAGGCGAATTATATATGATTTTGGTAGTAATTCTAATTCTAGCAGCCTTATAATTATAAGAAACACATTTCCGGCATGGTACTTCAGTAATAAGGGTTGAAACTTTATTTTAAAGTACAACGAAAAAAATGTAATATATCATACAATAAGGGATTGCATAGTATTGCCCTGTCATGTTCGCTTCAAGCCAGTTCACGGTTGCAGTCTGAGCATGAGCAGATAAAGGTCATTGCAGAACAAATTTTGAAATATACACGGAGACGAAATACTGGATACGTGCTCATGAAAGTTATAATAATTACAGTGCTTATATAGCGCCTTGTTAGAAGTATCTAAGCGCTCTACAATAGTGCAGCATAATTACCCTGGCTTTAGCAGTGCAGCTGTTACGCGCGCTGCGTTTCAAGGAATAAATTCCTACCAGGTACCCATTTACTTCACCTGGGTGGAGTGTGGCAAATGTAGATCAATGTCTTGCCAAAGGACATTAGTGCAGCGGCGGGACTCGAACCGCGAACCTTGTGATCGACAGGCCGGCGACGTATCCACGTAACATTATTCATTCATGCACATTCAGTGCACTCCATGGTACACAGGTGGAAGTATTCTTTGAAAAGGGAGAACAAAGGCTATTTATAAAGCACCTCCATCGCTATAGGATTGATTATTTCAAAATGTACAAAGTGGGACCTCTTCATGACTTGAAGATCTGTGAATATTCGGGGTCATTGCAGTAATGTGCTAACCGTGAACTGGTCAATTGTTTATGAGGAAACAAGATTGTGGACACATACAATAAGGATGTAGGTAAAGCTCACTATTATATAGGCATTGGCGATAAAGCGAATTTGCTCCCCTATTTATTGTTTCGAAAGCAAGCAGTGATGTAACCTATCCCAGGAAAGGACTGGAATCAAGCCACATCCCAAGCTCCAAGCCGCCGAAAAGATATGCGATAATATGCAACTGTTGACCAGGTGGTGAGATAAAAGAGCGCATGAAATGTCAGGATTTAGAATTCCTACATTAAAAAGTTGTATCACAGCAACTGTTCGCTGTTCCTTTCAATGATTTCTCATCCATTGTTGAATGTGTAAAAAGTAGAACAAGCGAACACAAACTTGTGTTACTTCAAAAATATTTAAAAAAACACGCGAAAACACGCATTAGCATGGATTAAATAACGGGACATTAAAACATGCACAAATTAGCGCATTATCCTAAAATATTGAGTTTTTGTCAGGATGTCATTTTTCTTTTACCAACTCTGGCACACAAATTATAGGGCGGACGGAGTACTAAATTTGAAAAAATTTGTAATTTAATATTTTGTTATAAATGTAAAACTGGTGCCTGTCTTCCGAAAGTCCCCGCAGTGGAAGCGCGGTTCGGAGCATGGAACTTCAAAGCCAAGTGGAATGTTACACATCCCATTGTTACGCTTTAAAACTCACGAATGCATTTGAATAAATTACAAGAGTTTCGCCTCCTTTATTTCACTTTCCTGCCTATCCTTCCCTACGCCCAGGCGCGGATCCAGGGGGGGGGGCCGAGCGGGCCTTGCCCCCCCCCCCCCCCGCAAAAAAAAAAAAAAAAAAAAAAAAAAAGAGAGAAGAAGGAAAAGAAGGGAGAAAGGGAAAAAGGAGAAAAAGGGAAAGAAAGAAGAGGAAGAAGAAAAGTAAAGGGGGAAGAAGGAGATCGGGGGGGGGGCCGAAAGGGCCTTGCCTCCCAGGCTGTTAACCCCCCCCCCCCCCAATCAAAAAAAAAATAAGAGAGAGGGAAGGAAAGGGAAAGAAAAGAAAAAGGAAAAGAGGAGATATTGGCGTACTGATGGAGGGGGGGGGGGGCTTGGGGGAAATCAAATTCAAACGTGGTTTATTTCTGATTCCACAACGGTGTATTACAAATAATTCTGAAATGACATAATTTCCGAAATTTTTCCTCACTTTTTAGGAAATTATACGTTTGTACGTGTTTGTTGGAAAATAAAAAAAATCCTAAATTTACAACCAGGCAAAAAAATATGATTCTTGAGATTCCTACATGTCAGGGCCCGAGGTACGGCGGGGATCGAGAGCCTCGAGGCATCAAAATATGCTCATCTGACCGTGATTAAATGCCTAAAACCCCTAAGCTTCCGGGGGCTTTGCCCCCTGGATTCCATCTAGGGCCCTACGGCGGGCCCTTAGATGATCATCTGACGGTAATATAATGCCTAAAACCCCTGATTTTTTGGGGCTCTGCCCCCTGGATCCCACGCCAAATAGTGACTTGCCAGGGTCACAAAATAATAAGGTATACACAAAAATATGCTCATCTGACCTTAATTAAACGCCTAAAACCCCTGAGCTTCCGGGGCCGGCTCCGCCGCCTCGACCCCACCTCTTTGAAATTCAGACAAGGATTAAAGAGTATAGAGAACGGTACAACGCATCGTTTTCTTTCTCTAATAATAAAACGTCAAAGCCTCGCGCAGGAGGGGAGGAGGGGGGGGGGGGGGGACTGAATTGAGACGAGGATTCAGAGGCGAGAACGGTAATACGAATCTTTAATTATTTGATGAAACGTAAAAGCTTATGCGCTTCGCGCGGGATGGAGGGGGAACTAAATTCCGATGAGGATTATTTTCGAGAACGGTACAATGAATCGTCTTCTTCTCTAAGGATTAAATGAAACGTAAAAGCTTCCGCGCTTCGCACGGGAGGGGGGGGGAAACTGAATTCAGACGAGGATTAAGAGTCGAGAACTGTACAACAAATCGTCTTCTTTCTCTAATGATTTAATGAAACGTAGAAGCTTCCGCGCTTCGCGCAGGAGAGGGAGGAACTGAATTTAGACAAGGATTAAGAGTCGAGAACTGTACAACGAATCGTCTTCTTCTCTAATGATTAAATGAAGATTAAAAGCTTCCGCGCTTCGCGCGGGAGGGGGGGGGGCTGAATTTAGACAAGGATTAGGAGTCGAGAACAGTACAACGAATCGTCTTCTTTCTTTAATAGTTTAATAAAACGTCAAAGCTTCCGCGCTTCGCGCAGGAGGGGGAGGGGGAGGAACTGAATTTAGACAAGGATTAAGAGTCGAGAACTGTACAACGAATCGTCTTCTTCTCTAATAATTAAATGAAGATCAAAAGCTTCCGCGCTTCGCGCGGGAGGGGGGGGGGGAACTGAAATCAGACGAGGATAAAGGGTCGAGAACGGTACAACGAATCGTCTTCTT